TCAGCAGTCAGAACTAACATCTGTTTGGTTGGACCTTAGAGTAGACTCCTGATTTTCCTTGGCCATGCTATGTTTAAGATGTATGAAATATGTTGAATGCTTCTTTGTGCTGTGACAAATCTAATGTGAGATAAACTTACCAGATGATTATGAAACAGTAGAGGCTGAATGCTGGTGCACGCTCATGGTAAGCCTGTGTTGTCAGAAGAGCCTGAAGAGCTCCTTTTCTCTTTTCTGAGTGGATCAAAGCCTGCTGAATCGCTTTCTGAGCTGTGCTTACTCATATCATTAGGAGGTACAAAGCTTCCTCCTTTGTTAGCTTTTTCCACCTCACTTTGAATGCAAAATATTCTGCTGTTATACTAATTAGGCCAACTGGCTGAGGTTAACAAACACTCAGTTGCTTCTCTTATCATCATCCTTATTTGTGCATTTCTCTATTTCACTTGGGGTTTGCCTGTGATGTGAAAGAATTGGATAATTCTGGAGGGCTTTTAGTAGCAATGATGAAATAGTAGAGCCTGAGTCACATTGCAGACAAGCTGTGCTGGCCTTGACCCTCACTGGTCCATCTTGGCCTCAGATCTGCCTTGTCACCACCACGGGACTCTCTGGAGATCTGTTGGTGGCACTCAGTTGCTGTGCCCTGAGTCTGCCCTGCTCCCTTTGCTCAGGTACAGGGCACTGCCCACCCACCTGCTGTGAGCAGTCCTAAATGGTGCTGTAGAAGGGGTGTGGACGTGTGAGCCTTACCGTCCAGCTGACCGTTGGTCATTTGCACCAGCAGGGAAGAATTGGTGCTGCCCACAAGCAGAACGGTACTTACAATGCTCAGGTCATGCTGCTGGAAATGCAGTATTTACCCATCCTCTCTAAGCTACGTGCAGAGTTGCAGTACGTAGGTCGACGTGCCAAATTTCCCTCTTGGCTTTCCCCAGCCCTGGCTCATGGCTGTGGTTGGACTGAAGCCGTTTGCTATAATAAAAATGGGAATTTTTTCTGACTTGCACTCTCCCAGAGCTCTGTCACTCCCTGCACGTTTAACCTGAGGTCGCTTGGCCAACAATGAGCAGATTTAAAAAACCAAACAACAAAAGCAGCATAGAGAGCTCTTTCAGGATTTTGGTTCCCCATCAGACAACAGTTGTGTTTGAAAAAGAAGATTAGTGATAACATTCACTGGTGAAAGCATGGCAGAACCTGGTTTCTCCCCTGCCCCAAAGAGCATCCTAACTAGCTGATGGGAGAATTCCCCTGTTGAAAGCTGAGGCTTTTAGATCTGTGCATTTTCAAACAAAATTGAAAAGTTTTTTGATTTTGTATCTGTTGAACTCCCAGCCATGAAAAAAAAAAATAAATCTGAAACATAATGATAAGTTTTCTCTTTTAAGTCAAAGGTTGGGATACTGAGGATCAGATCAGAAAGTGAATGGAAATGAGTGCTGCTGGTTAGGTGTTGTTATGATCCATGCTTCGTGAAGATGAAAATCAAGTAGAAGAAAATGAGTTAGATTTTCAGGCACCAGGACATGACAGCATCTATAAAACACGAGCAGACTATGAAGATCTGTAAAAGCTGAACTGAAAAGAAATGACTTCTTCCAGCACTTGAAAGGAGATTATAATTAGGAGGAGGAAGAACAACTTTTCACATGGTCTGATAGAGATAGGACAAGGGGGAGTGGCTTTAAGCTAAGAAAGGGGAGATTGAGGTTAGATGTCAGGAGTAAATTCTTTCTTCAGATGGCAGTGAAGCACAGGCTGCCAGGGAGGCTGTGGATGCCCATCCCTGAAGGTTGGATGCCCCTTCAAAGCCAGGCTGGATGGGGCCTGAGCAGCCTGAGCTGGTGGGGGCAGCCCTGCCCACAGCAAGGGGGCTGGGACAGGCTGGGGCTGAAAGGTCCCTTCCAACCCAAACCACTTTATCATTCCGTGACTGGTGGACATCTTCAGGAAATGACTGAACTCCCTCTCTTCATTATTAGTTCTGGCAAATTTAGGACTTTTTAAATAGTTTCAGAGGAATGCATGATGATGTTCATCTTCACTCTTCCCTGTGACTTCCATAGTGCTTGCCAAAATGCTCTGTGGTTCTTGGATATGACTTGTTAATTAATGGAAAGACAGAGGGTTGTGATTAGAATGTGTTTTGGCTTTTTTTTTTTTTTTTTTTTTTTCCTGGGGAAGGTAATTATGATAAGGGCAGACTTAGTATTAAATCGTATTAAACCTGTTTTGTTCAGGGATTTAAAACTTCATACCTTTCTCAGAAAAAGGTATAAAGTGGTCACATTGCCTCAGGCAAATGCTCTGGTTGGAAAGGGAGATGGCTGGACCAGTGAAGCCCAGAGGATGGCTGAAGATGTTTCTATCCCAGCAGTGATGCTGTAAAATTACCACCTTGGAGATTAGAGCACTTTCTCCTGCCAGTCAGGGAGAAGGGGTAATTCACACTGGTGACCTTGATGGGATTGAGCCTTAGGGCTCACTGATTCTCTCCTTCAGTGCTGCAGCATCCAAGCTGTTAATCCCATTTTTCAACAGAAGATTAACATCTGCAGCTCATTTCTCTTCTGATTTTCCTTGGCTCTTGCCACATCAGTTATGATGAGTGGTTTTGTTGAACAAAATCACCCTCTCATTCTGTCTCTCTCTTTCCCCTAGCACTGGAGCATTCAGGAACCCCTGCGCTGCATTGGGGTTTTTGTTTTCTTTCTTTGTTTTAATCTCCATAGACCACCTCTCTCCCAGGGTTGGTGAATGGAAAGCTTGTCCTGTGTCTGGAAAGATGTAACAGCTGAGATGAGCCCCTACTTATTTTACCTATGCCCTATGGAGAGCTCTTCCCCGTGGGAGGAAAGGAGATGTGGCACTGAAGGTTTATGTTGGTCCGTTTCACAGAACAGCAAAAAAAGGAAAGTCTCTTTACTATCAAGGGCAAAGTCTGGATGTGCGACAGCCTCTCTAAACTCTTATCAGCCTAAATGTTTCCCTATGCATTTATCTACAACTGCGTTCCTGGAGCTATTTCCATGAAGGGACAAGAAGGCATGGGACTTCTCTCTCTGCCACCCCCTCTCACTTGGAGCCAGAGGCTGCTGAGGAAAGGAGGATTCATTTAACAGGAGGAATTACGAGCGGATAATGTAATTGAAAGCCAGCTCTTGGAGCATTCACGGTTGCTCGGTGGCAGTGTGACAGGTCTCATGGCAGCCCTGCTTGACAAAATGTTGCCTTGCAAAACGGTGATCAGCTTGACCCACTTCTGAGCAGGGTCAGACCTGCATTTGATCCTCTGGTGCCGATTATCTGTCTGGAGGGCTTTGCATGTATGAGAGGCTATATGTGAGAAATCTCTGGTGGGCTTAAAAAACGAAAATAAAAATCACAGTATTGCCTTCTGCTGTGACACAAGGAGAGGGCTGGTTCCCTGTGCCCCAAGTTCTCTTCATCCTCCCCAATTCCTTCCTGCTGCAGGGTCCCTCAAGGCTTCTAACATCCTGCTGAGAGCCTGTGGCCTCTCTCCGTGTCAGTGCTCCTGTTCAGCAGCTCCTGTTCAGCTCTATGCCAGTTCAGATGCTTTCTGGGTCACTCTTTACCTCCTAGGGTGAGGTGGGCAGCACTGCAAACGTGGTAATATTCTCTGCGCTGCACTCTACACTTACCTGCTGGTGGCTTTGCTGTGCCATGTTGCTCTTCTCTGTCGTGGGGGCCAAGGCTACTGTTCTGACATAGTAGGTTATGCTGCTGGCTTTGGAGTGAAACACAGTTCTCATCCCAAGCGATCTGTGCGTGCACAGGACCTGGAAGCCAATTGTGGAGAGCAGAGCAGGCTCCAGTGAGCACCCAGTGAGGGCAGGCTATAATTGAGTCAGTTCATGCTGCACGCTTCTGCCTTTTCAGATGGTAGAGCATTAGCTGTGGTCAGTGAGGGCTTCTTGCTCAACCAGTGAGCTGAGTTTAATCAGTTCCACGAGATTCTGGGTGCCCAGGTTATCTTTTTATGTAATGAGCTGTTTTCATGTTAGGTTAAATTTCCTTGGCTGTTGCTGTGCTGCTTGCCTTGAAGCAGCTGTTGGAGAAAAAAGCACAGTTAAAGTGGTCTGAACTCAACTGTCTTCTGACAGTTCTGAGGAAATGAGAACCGCGTTTTGTGTTTTCTTTGGAAATACTATGAGGGATGAGCTCAGCATTTTGATAGAAAAGAAAACAGGGGCAACGGAGCTGGCTGCTGTCAGGGAGCACCCAGCCAGTAAAAGATGCTCACCTGCATCTGCAGGGCTACCCAGGGCGTTATGCCAGCAAGTCACAGCGGAGCGATGCCGGTCCTTGTTGCTGTGTGTGATGGGTCAGGGAGAGCAGGTGGAGCAGTCATCTATCACAAGCACCTTCCTGAGCCTTGTTTGCAGATTCATGATGAATATCGTATCTCATATGTTTAAGATTCTGCATAAAGGTGATACGAACTGTTTGCTTTTTGAGTTAGCTTGTATGATGGGGAGAGCTGTTCAGCGAGCAAGAAGGGAAACCGTCTGGTGTAGAGCTAAGACATAAAGAAAATGCAGTACTGTGTGCTGTATGAAAAGGAAAATCAAGGCACCCGGTCATGAAATGTATCCTGTTCCCAGCTGGAATAGGTTGGCTTTTCCAGCTTCATTGCAACTTAAGGCCGTGCTCATTCAGCCCTGCAGTGTTGGAGGGCTGCACCGCTAAAGCCTCTGAGGGGTTTTGCTCCCGGGGAGCGCTTTGCCTTCAGCTGAGTAGCGCAAACCCCCTCGTTCCACGTCTGACCCGAGAGCAAACAGCGGGCACGGGCGCACGCAGGGTGCGATGAGGGAGTGGGAGAGGAAGGAGGGAAAAACCACGGCGGGCTCCACAGCCCTCGCCGCGCGGCCCCTCCCGCCTCCTCCTCCGCCTCCGCCCCGCGCGGGGGGATTAGGGCCGGCTCTCCCCTCCATAAAGCGGCCGCCCGGCCGGCCCTGCCCATCCCGTCGCAGGGCGCCATGCAGGCCGTGCCCCGGCGCGGCGGTTCTCTGGAGGGGGCGCCGTGCCCGCGGGAGGCCGGCGGGCAGGTGAGCGGCGCGGGGCGGGCGGGCCGTGCTGCCCTGGGACGGAGATCCGAGGGGGGCTGGGGGCGGCCCGTGCTTCTGGAGGAGACGGGGGAGAGGCATGTCGGCACGGGTCGGTGATACGGCACGTGGAGGAAAAAAATCAAACGGGCAACAAAAAACAGCTTGGCAAAGGCTTGGGTCTCTTGTCAGAACAAAACTCCTGCGAAGATCTTCGGTGGGGCTGAAAAACGCGCCTGTAAGGTGATGCTGAGTTACAGCCACCTGTAGGGTCACATGTCTTCATCCTTCCCTGCTAGGAAGGGTGTGAGGAGTGCAGCGAGAAAGCTGCCAGCTGTGTAAGGAGTACGGGTAATGGCAGTCTGTGACAAATACCCGATTAAAAGGTGTTCTGGTGTTCAGCTTTCAGCTCTGCAATGTACTTTCCTTTAGACAGGTGCTTTTGGGTAATTTTAAATGTTGGATACCTACCGATACAAAAAACTGAGCTGCTAAGTATCCATCCTATGGGGAGTAATGTTTTCCTGGGGGGGGAAGGGAAGAGATTGCTATGGGCTTCAGGAGGAGCAGTTTTTATCCAGAAAGCACTTAATAGCTTTTTGAACTTGAAAGGCCCTCTTTGCGTGCTTTCATGAAGGCAAGTCATGTTGATGCCAGGTCAGTTAATGTAGCACAATAATGATTCCTCGCCACCATGCCCTCCTAAGGGCTGGCAAGTGATGGCACACGAAGGAAGGGTGTCAGGCATGATTAGAGCTCAGTTACTGATAGGGAATATAGTGAAACTGGAGGAGTTGCTTTTGCATTCGCATTTGCTCTGGTCCTGCACCAACATGGTGGCTGCATTAATGCAGACCTGTTAGCAGTCTTGTACTAAAAGCCAAAGATTAATGCTGGTTTAGGGTTAAATGTGCAAATGATGTGCATCTGGCATAGCAGGCATCTGAGTTTCTCTTCTGCAATTTGTTCAAATTTATGTTAGAGGTCACTGGTAGAATTTAGTGTAAGGATACTCTGCGTGGTGTTGTGTTTTATTTGTTTGTCTCTTAGAAATATTGCTTAATAAATGATGTCACCCGACCCTAAGCACAAAGTTAAACTACTAAAATATAAAATAAGAATACACGTTTTCAGTACGTGTGGTTTGTCCCAGCTGTGCACCTTGTAACGTTACCTGCAGCTATACTAGATCTCATGAGCTGAAGGCAGTGATCCTGAGTGTGGAATCAAACCACCCTGCTTTTTATAAATCATGTCGAATAATTAGCCCCATGGTTTATGCCTTCAAAATCCACTGTGTGTTTATGATGGACACTTCATTGCTTCTACAGCAGCATCATCCAAGTGGGGTTAGGTTTAAACAAAGAACAGTGTCTGCACTTGGGCAAAGCTAATAACCCACGTATTGTGGGGTTTGGGTTTTTTCTTTTCTGCCTGGAGTAGCCCTGCTCAGCGTCTATTCCTTGTGATTCAGATCCTTGTTTGTTTACATTTAGCTAAGTAAGTCCAACTACATGATGATTGAAGATAATAAAGAGAACAAAGACCACGTGCCTGAAAGGGGAAGAACTGCCATCATTTTTTCCTTGAAGAATGAAGTTGGAGGCCTTGTAAAAGCTCTAAAACTCTTTCAGGTATGCGATAATTATATTTCTATAACGGATCTACTTTTTGTTTATTATTTTAAAGGTAGGTTTGGCACACAGTGGAATTAATTACATCCGTTTATTAAGGATGTGATTCCTAACGTGCCTCCCGCTTTGCACCCAAAATTATCCACAAACGTACACGTATGCCTCAGAAGTTGGATGCTGGCTTAATGTCTTAAAAACTCTTCTGCACTTACAAAAAATTGGAACAGATTCCTCTTGTTCCTTCACGAAAAAGGATTGCACTCATTGTTTCTGCTGCATATAAGAAGTGGACGTACTGATGATACACACCTGGGGTGCTGATGAGCTGCCTGCAGTGCTGCTGTCACTCTGCCTGGCTGGACTGAAGGTGGCAGAGGTAGTGCAGCAGTCCCACTGTGCTCCTTTCCTTGCTGTCCTGCAGGGAACGTGGCACTGTCACTGTGCTGTCATTTGGCCCTGCCTGTCTGAGCCTGGGGGTTCCTGCATGATCCTGGTGTAAGACGTATGATTAAATCATTTTTCAAATAAAAGGAAAGTGAAGTTCATGTCTGGAGAATGACTGCTTTTAAATCCTTTGCTTGTGAGATAATTCCATGGCAATGTGATTGGCATTGTTGTGGATTTCCCTAGACCAAGTCACTGATCAGCTTCCTATGGGAAGGATGAAAGAAAAAAGTCTGCGAAATTAAACATCCTTAGTGTGTTTCTCTTCAATGAAATGAAACCAAAAAGTCCTTCATTTTCTTTGGAATAGGTGGCTTTTTAAAAATCAGTTTCACCACTAGCAAAAACCAGGCTACTACCAGGAGAGCCAATTAACTAAAATACCTTCGCGTAGATGGTGAATATGCTGTGTCAGCAGAATACTTTTGTTTGTAAAGAATGAAATTTAGATTTTAGTCGTTCTGCTTGAAAACCTTACCTCTTACAAAACAGGAAAAGCATGTGAACCTGGTGCACATCGAGTCACGGAAATCCAAGAGACGAAATTCGGAGTTTGAAATCTTTGTTGACTGTGACAGTAACAGAGAACAACTGAATGAGATCTTCCAGCTCCTCAAATCCCACGTCAGCATCGTCTCTATGAACCCAGCAGAGCATTTCAATGTGCAGGAAGATGGTAAGTACAGGGGGCAGCGCTGGTAAAGAGAAGGCATTACTGTTCTTCTCAGTGTGCTAATTTGAAACCTTTTTACTTTGTCTGTATGTGCACATGCATAGTGCTGTGGGTAGCTCCAGACAGCTATGGGTAGCTGTCAGGTTTGTATTTCTGTGCCATTGCTGCATGGTTTGGTTGACACGAGCAGGGCTTTGTTGCCTGGTGTCTTCTAGAAGAGCTGGCTGTTTGGCCATCTGCTCTCCTGGCTTTTCTCAGCACAGTATAACTGCTGTAAGTGGGGGTCCCTGCACCAGCAGAGACTGATGCAGGCCACTGTGATGTTGCCACATTCAGGCAGAGTCTGACTGAGGGCTGGGCTGGTGCTCCACATCAGAGGTGGCATACTGATATACACCAGTTAAATTCGGATACTGGACAGTGTGGGAGATGGGTTCTGCCATTTCCTCATGCAGCTCTTGACTTAAAGACTTTTTTTAAAACGTTTTTCATAATATGTGGTTGCTTATATCAGTGTGAAAGAGAAGGTGGCTTCTCCAAAGTAATTGGAGATGCTTCAAATCTTCATATTTGCTCTTAGACGATGAAGTGCTCAGAACTCGGGGCAGCGCAAAATCACTGTCATATTTTTCTCAGCCACCATGCTTGGCACAAGCTAGTAGGCATGGAAAGGGAAGATCTGGTGTCTGCTGGGTAAAAGTTTCTTATTCTAGCTCTAGGAAAGGAGAATCTCAATCTGAACAATTTCCCCATCCTTACTAAGGAAACTGAGGAGCATTAGGAGAGAAAAAAATCCTTTGGTAGTTACAGTGTATTAGCAGCCGTGCCAAGAGCTTGTTAAAAGCTTTTTGACTAAAAACCAAAACAACACCAAAAATCGCCTCCAAAGAAATGAACCCCAAAAATCCTCAGTAGTGAAATTAATTATGCGTCTCTCTGAGGCTACATGGCTGAAGCTGCCTCCTTCTTTTCCTCTTCCCTCTGTAAAGCCTGATGTTTCTGGAGCACATAAGCACAGAGCAGCGTTTCTTGCCAGTGAAGCAGGATGGGAGGATTCTAACCTTCTCCACTCTGTCCAAGGACTGCATGAAAATCAGTTCTCTTGCTCCTTTACGTGCTTTGTGCCCTGGAAGGCTGTGCACAAGGAGGCCTTTGCTCCGTGGCAGCCATTAGCTGCTGCTCTAACATTAATACTAACAACAGGCAGGGCCACTGAGAACCCATATTAACTGTTTCCTCCCCAAATCTTCTGATTTGGAGTATGCTGTGCAGTCTGTGGGCAAACTGGCAGTGACAGAGGAGGAAGTATGAACTGGAGGCTGGTGCCAGATAGGCAGCAGGCTCCCTTGTCCTGTTTGTAACCCTTTTAATTTATAGATTTTGCCTGTAACTGCCATAGCCAGACTTGAAAGTAGCATTTCCTCCATCAGCACGCTTGGCATTATTAATAACCTTGTGGATTCCATGCGTTCCGTAGAGATGGAGAACATTCCCTGGTATCCAAAGAAGATCTCAGATTTGGATAAGTGTGCAAACCGAGTGCTGATGTACGGGTCCGATTTGGATGCTGACCATCCAGTAAGTATCTTACCCCTTCCATGCACAACGCTCAGTGAAAAGTACATTGTGGAACTTGCTTTTAAAACATGAAGCGTTTCCTCCTCTCTCTTGTTCCCTCCGCAGTGTCTCTGGGGGTCTAAGAACCTTCTCGTGGGGGTTTCATGTCTTTTCCTAGGTCAGGCAAGGCTGGTACTGAATGTGGCTCCTATGCCTTTCTGTGAAGCTTGCTCATGTAGAGGACTGGGGCTGGGCCCTGAGCGGTCACATAAGTACAAAAACAAAATGCTGTTGTGAGAAAGGCTTGGTTTTTCCTCTCTATTTCTTCCTTACTACAGGTGGAGCAAACTAATTAGAATTTGCACAGTACAAATGGACAATTTCTTTCGTAATTTGAAATAAACAAGAAAGTGACCAAGTTTGTGTATATACTAACGTGTCTAAAAGGAGCCTTGTCTTCTGAATATATACTGCATGCATAAAACCACTGATGTTTGCTTTGAATTGACATATTTGCTTATTTTACAGTTAATAAACATTTCGATCTACAGCTATGAGGTTCCTCTTCATCTTATATAGTATACTTTAATATTTACCACTGAAGAATTTCAAGTATCTTGCTTTAAATTAACTTATATACTACAGCTTGAAAACCCATTTAACTTTGCTTTTTCTTTCCTCCTCGCTCTCCCCAGGGTTTCAAAGACAATGTCTATCGTAAGAGGCGAAAGTATTTTGCAGACTTGGCTATGAACTACAAGCAGTAAGTTCAACTTCTTCCAGTGAAAGCCATCTAGGTGCTTTGAAATAGCAACAGAGTGGACTGCTACATGTTCCCTGGGCTCAGATCTCACTGAGATATACTTGTCTCAGGAATCAGAGCTAGAAGGATAAAGTGAAGGGAGATTTAATGCAAGATTTAAAGGTTGATCTAGGTAATGCAAGATTAAAAGGTAGATCTAGGCCACCTTACAGCTTCCTGGGTCTCTAGTCAGTCTGAGAATCAGCTCATGGCTGCATGGGCATTGTGGTATCTGTGGCAGCACTAATCCCCAAACGGGCAGCAATGTCAGCATGGGCTTCCTGCAGTGGGGTGTGTTAAGGCACTGGGTTCTCTCCCCCCTTTTCTGGAAATGGGTGCAGCAAAGGAAGGGAGTGGGCAGCACATCTACACAGCTGTCTGTCCAGGACATGCATATGCTGCCAGGGCTGATCTCCTTTGCAAAGGAGAGGAAGGAGAGGAAAAGTTGTTAGACAGCCCATTGACCACTGAGTTATAAACTCTCTGGGCAAATGTTAATACTTGAGTTTTATTTCCTGGTTTAGAATAGAGCATGCGATGCGTAGATAAGAATTCTGTGAAATGGAATTCAAAGAGCTTCTGTCTTTAGAGATTCTGCTTGGAGGAGGGAGCTCTTAAAGCTGGAGGAGTTTCAGAGCCCAGTGCTAAACATTTTTTTCTGAACATGTTTTTTGCATTACTGTTGCCTGTGTGAATATTGACACCAAATTCCTCAACTGGGAATGACTTAGAAATGGCAGATATCTAGAGCTGATGGCTCTCTGTGTTCATGCAGCTGGCCACCACAGCATGCAGGCAGTTACTGCAGATGTGTTGTTAACAGAGCTTTTTTTGGGAAAGCAGCAGCCGTGCTGGTTATCTAGCTGGCAGTGGAGGCAATGTATGACACTCCAGTTGCTGTCAGCAGCCTTCAAATCACAGCCTTGCTCTAACTTTAATCAAGATCCTAAGGGTTGATTAGGATGGACCACAGTCGATATGTTCAGACAGACACTTGTCTCCTCTGCACGGCAGCATGATTTTTACCTAACATGCATGTTTAGTTTCTTCCACTTATTGTGCTGCTAATTTAGGGGATTATCTTTTCCTAAAATAAATAAAAAAAGATAGTGGAAAGTTACTGTATACAGACAGAGAGATACTACAAGGAAGAAGATGTGTTCCCAGCTCCCAAAACAAAAGATTTTGCAGTTACTGTTTGAACACTTAAGAAACTATTTACACAACTGAAGCTTTCAGACCCCCCTGAAGTCAATGCAAGGATTGCTATCTGTAGATTTAGGTGGAAGAGTGAGCAAGCCTAAAAGTTCTCCAGGGCACAGACCTGATCTTACCCACGTATTTGACAGTGTAATGAAACCTTAAGCTTGACCAGCTGTCCCAGCCATATGAATGTTGAACAATAATAGTAAGTAAATGAGTCATCCTTATAAGCCATTTACCAAGGAATGTCCCTTTGTCCTCATCTCCTTGTAGTGGTGACCCAATTCCCAAGATCGAATTCACAGAGGAGGAGATCAAGACTTGGGGGACTGTGTACCGAGAGCTTAACAAGCTTTACCCAACTCATGCCTGCAGAGAGTACCTTAAAAACTTGCCGTTGCTCACCAAATACTGTGGGTACAGGGAAGACAATATCCCCCAGCTGGAAGATGTGTCCCGGTTCCTGAAAGGTAGGGTATTAGTTAGGAGAAGAACTAAAGTCCATTGCAAATCACACTGTTACTATGTGGGCACAAAAAAAAGATTCTTGGTTTTTGGCTGGGAAACCTAAAAGCAAAATGTTTGCTTGTATTCATTCTGGTCATTTAAGAGGCTTTTTGGCCTCTCTGTTTTTAATGTATTATGTCCTAAATATATGCAGTGATGGTTTGGGGGGCCATGCTAACTCTAAAGAGACTTAGGACTGGTTAAAGTGATACCTAACTGTATTCTGTTGGTTGTAGGCATGAAATCTTAAGAAATCCACCTACGCAGAGGTAGGGACGCTTCTACTGAATGTTGGCCATCCTCAAGATTAGGCCTAAATTTTCTAGTCATGCCTATTTTTCTCATGTGCTCTTAAGCCAAAGTAGTGATGTGGATCTTACCCCATTTGTAGCAGAGATGGGAACATTATGGACTTCTACTTTAAACTAACATATATTTTCTCCACTCCTTTTTAGAGCGCACAGGTTTCACCATTCGCCCTGTTGCTGGGTATCTGTCACCCAGAGACTTCTTGGCAGGATTAGCATTCAGAGTTTTTCACTGCACTCAGTATGTTAGACACAGCTCAGACCCTCTCTACACACCAGAGCCGTGAGTAGAATGAAACTTGTGTTTATGAGTATTGCTACCCAATACCAAGCTACTTAAAATCTGTTCAAGAATACCAGCAAGAAAACTTATTTTGAAAGGTGCTGAAGACTTCAGTCTTCGCACTGAATGTAGTGATGTTTTAGCATACTCAAGTGCCACCTTCATAAGCACGGGATTTTCAGAAGGAGAGCATGTTATTGGAGGACTCTTGCAGTTGTCATCATGGGCAGTTTAAAGTTCAGTTGGAACTGTGTTCTTAATATTAGACACCTTCATCTGCAAACTGGAGCAGCTGTACTTTTGTAGAAATGGTGTGATGTGCTGATTTGATACTTCTTTGTATTTGGGATATTGTTCAGATAATGAAGTTTCACACAAGACACTGTTTAGTGGTGCTACTTTTTCTCTCCATCACAAAGAAAGATGAGATTTCTTTTTTTTTTTTTTTCCCCTCTTTTCCAGTGATACCTGCCATGAGCTCCTAGGCCATGTCCCTCTTTTGGCTGAACCCAGTTTTGCTCAGTTCTCCCAGGAAATTGGTCTTGCATCGCTTGGGGCATCAGATGAGGCTGTCCAAAAACTGGCAACAGTGAGTGTTTCAGTGCCCAGTGATCCCACTTAAAGCTTGGCGCTTCATTCAGCTGATCCCTCTAGCTCTAATTAATTTGGAGATTAATTTCAACATTAGCTGCACCAGCTGCTACACCTGACTCTTAGCTTTAGAGCATAGAACAAGTTTCCATGCTAGGAAAAAAATACATTTTAAGAACGATGTGACAGGTATTTTTCTTACTTCACTTAGGTCAAGTAAGTATGCAACTTCTAGGGGTAGATAACTTCTTCCAGCTTGAAATTCTGCGGTCTGTTTCCTCTAGAAAATATCTTTCTACTTCTGAGAACATAGATTAGATATAAAAACATTGAACTGTTACTTCAGTGTGTAAAATGAATTGAAATGTTGTGTTTTCACTGAATGTGAAACTAGCACTCGGTACATTTCAGCCAAGAAATTCAAATAAATAATGCAAACTCATCTTAGTTCTGGGATAACAGTTTCTTGATACATTGACAGAAATACTGAAAGGTGAAAACTTTACATGAAAAATAATTGATTCCAGTTACAAAAGAACTGCCAGTCATAGCTAGTGGTAAAGCTTCTGCTACCTTTAGTGAGACCAGAAGTAAAGCATCTAAGAAAATGGCATTCCTTGCCACATGCCTGCAGGAGTCCTGAACATCAGGAAACTGAACATCTTTAACATTTTAGACCACTAAGGAACAACCTGTATTGGATTGATGCTTTCAATTGTTGAGGTCCTGTCTATCTAGTGTTTCTTTTAAGCCGAATCTCTCAGGTCATTACAGTGCTTCTCAAAACAGATTAAATTGCCACATTTCTACTGGGATGAGCAGCTTCTGTCCCAGCTATGTCATCAGACTTTCTTATTAGAAACATTTAATCCTGTGGTTCTTTTCTCTTCTGTTTAGGTTCCCTTCGCTTTAGATATCTGAGAACGATAACCCAGTAATGACTTGCAGGTGTTTGATACTTCCTGAGAGTAGAAGGGCCCCCATCCAGTTCACCACAAAACCTTTGCTGAAGGATAAATTATTTTACTCCCTTCTCTGTTTCAGTGCTACTTTTTCACTGTAGAGTTTGGCCTGTGCAAGCAAGAGGGACAGCTAAGAGTTTATGGGGCTGGCTTGCTCTCTTCTATTAGTGAGCTCAAGGTAAGAATATCCACTGCTTACTTCCCTCTTTACTTGGCTCATACTTGAGTATTTTTGTCGCTGTTCTGCCGTGTTTATTTATCAGGTATAATTCTTAAAAATATTTATTCTGAAAATACCTACTGTGGGGATGACTTCTAGGTGAGTTCACTGGGGTTAGTCACAGGGCAGTGTGCTTTGGGTATGTGCTGAGCAGCTCCTGTGTCCTTCTGAGGAAGCAGAATGGATGATTGATGTACATTCAGTTCCAAGTAACCTGTTTTCAGAAAAAGACTCTACTGTTTTAACCAGATTCTGAAAATATTGTTCTTGTTTAAAAGCAGCTTTGACCCGTATTGGCAGAACACAATCCTTTAGAGATAACGTTTGTTATGCTTAAGCCATTGTTCAGCTGCAGACATGTTTTAAGAGGCAATGCACTAAATATGGTCTCACCTCATCTTTTTTTTAATTCACTTTTTAATCTGTATCATCTTCCTTGTGGACTCTTTTGGTGGCGATATTCCTCTGGCACGTGATAACACATGATGTGTTACTTAGCACTCGCTCTCTGGCAGTGCCAAAGTCAAGCCTTTTGATCCAAAGATCACCTGCAAGCAAGAATGCCTCATTACAACTTTCCAGGAGGTTTACTTTGTTTCTGAAAGCTTTGAAGAAGCAAAGGAGAAGATGAGGTACGCTTTTTCTTGACTTCCTGTGTTTCTCAGAGGCAGCACCAGATCCTTTCATTCTTATCACAATTTTATAATAACCTTTTATGGGGCTGGAAAGCTGAGTTTAATATTTAATTGGTCTCCCATGTACTGGATGGGAGAGATGATGAACTTCGTAGTAATTATAATGATCATTAAGAAAGTAAGTGATTTGAAAAGTCATTACTGATACTGACTGCACACAGAGGATACATTTGTCTTCTGGTTAAACTTCCTCTTTATTTATTTATTTTTTTTGCTTTCATAGAGAGTTTGCAAAAACCATCAAACGTCCATTTGGCGTGAAGTACAATCCATATACTCAAAGCGTGCAGATCCTGAAAGACACCAAGAGCATTGCCAGTGTGGTGAACGAGCTGCGTCATGAGCTGGACATTGTCAGCGATGCCCTCAGCAAGATGGGCAAGCAGCTGGAAGTTTAACATTCCCATCATTCGCGTTGTGCGCTCAGCAACTCTTTCTTTTCCCCACTTGTCTCTTTCTAGGCACGTAACGTCTTGTATGCAGAACTTTCCTTTACTAATGGAAGAGTGAATAGCCCGTAAAGATAATCACTTTAACTCACTTTAACTTATTTTTCTGTTTAAAGTCCCTTACAGAATGTATTTCCTTCACCTCCATTCCCTGCGGATAAAGTCCTGGTGTTGCCTTGGAGAAGCTAGCAGAGGAAGAGAGAAATCTCTAGGCTGGAGCAAAACTGTGGTCTGTGGATCAGGGCTAGGATCAGATGCTTCAGAGAGTGGCTCATGAGGCAATTGTAGAACAATTTGGCACAGGGAAGTGTCTTTCTGATGCTAGTAGCCTATGCTGCTAATTTTGCAGTAGTGTAGACCTCATAACATAGAAGCTATAGTAATCAGTGCTTCTTTGTGCTATTAAGTTTAAATATTCCGGTTCAGAACTTGAATGATTACAGCTCAGGTACCGGGACACAAATATCTGGAAGTTTGTTATGACAAAATGGAGGGGTCATATCTCCCTTTCATAGGGATCACTCTTGCTCCCAAAGAGTTGCAGCTGTACTGAGTGGCCTGTTTCTAGTTAAAACACAGAGGTACAGAGCTATTATGTGAAAGCCTAACTGATTATTTCAGGAGATTTTCTGTCACCTCAAAGAGTTTGGACTTTTGTTGCTGTCCCTGGTGTTACATCTGAGGGAAGACACTAAGGAAATATCATTTGCCTTTTCCCTCGCTGAATAAATGTAGCCAGGATTATAGCAAGCCATCAGGTTCTGACTTAGCACAAAGCCTAAAACCATTTCAGAATTACAGTCCTATATCCAAAGTAGTTTCACAGGACTGAGAGAAGCCCAGTGCTAAAGTAACACCAGAATTTAAAATGAGGGCCAAAGTTTGTAGTCTCGTAGACATCCCATTGATTGCTTTATTAACCTTGCAAACTGCATGAAGATAAATTTAGCTTCTTCCTTGCTAGGCCTGAACACTTGTATTCTCCATCAAGCAAATAAGTGAAAGGTAGAAATATTTGATGGAAATCTCCATCCCTGGAGGCATTCAAGGCTAGGTTGGATGGGACCCTGGGCATTATAATCTGGTGGTTGGTGACTCTGCAGGGGATTAGAAGTGGGTGGTCTTTAAGGTACCTTCCAACCCAATCCATTCTGTGACTGGGATCTTGTGGCTATGAACACAAATATTTATACTTTCAGCTATGAGATTTTATTCTAAAGAACTCTTTATGAATGTTGGGAAGCGGTGTCCTGCTGAATTGTCTGTATAGCATAGCAGTAAAGTTGCCTGATTTCAGGACTGCATATTTCCAAGCATCCTGTAGAGCTGTATGGAGCTGGGCTGTCTGCTGTTGCTGCCAACCCTGTTTATGAAGTTAATTTATGCATGTAGATGGTGTAATAAATTTGAATTGATGATTTGTGGAGTGCACGCTAGACCCTGGTTCTCCATATGTGGTTCTTACAGAAAATCCAGCTTGCAACTGTGGAGGTCGCTGGAAAAATGAACTGGAATCTTAAATACGCTGGTCCAAGTCCTTTGGGAATCAGAAAGGACTTTCAAGAACCTCTGTTCTTGGCCCTCCCCTTGTTTCATATGCCTTCCCATAAGCTGCATCTGCTTTGTAAGCCATCTTTCCAAATACATTCACTATTTAAATCCAGTCTAGATAATTCTCCTATGACTTTATTAATCCACCATTGCTATTATTTTTTTCTAAGAACATTTTGGATGTGTGAAAATGTGGTCTACAGCTTACATTGCACTTTTAAATAGATGTTAGGAACTTCCTCGTTATAAGAAGAAACCTTCTGTTTGAAGTAGTAAGGGAAGATGTATTGTCTGCTTCTGTGCTAACAACGACCATTCAGCTGCATTTTAGAAACGATAAGGTTGTTACAGTGTTGGAATACAGGTCTGTGTTACTTGAAATCTTTGAGCTACACTGTGAGTGGCAGACCTCACACCTGCTGCATTAGCACGGGTACTGCTGGGGAGAAAACAAACAGGAATGGTGTCTTTATTTGCACCAGTGTAACAAAACAATCTGCTGCCAGCAATGTAAGGCAGGTGCGTTTTCGCGTTGTTAACAACACGTACCTTCAGCTTCAACATCCAACCCTTCTGGCTAGGTAGAGTATTAACAATTTACATATTTTAAACCGTTGTGGAGGCTTTAAATGTCAACTAAGTAAAAGTGTACCATCCTGCTGGAAATGGGTAGAACAGGTAGAATTTTCCTTCACCACTTCAGCAATAAACACAAACCATTCTGACTGAGGCTGCGTGTTTTATACTGCGACAAGGGGTTTTCTGCACCCGTGCCTTCATTCTCTTGCAAACTGCTTCAGTGAGAAGCGATTTGTCTTCTCCCTTCTAAAGGTTTCCTCGTCTTTCCGCTGAGGTCTGTGTGACCGGCCGCGGCGCCCAGCCGGGCTGTCTGGATGCAGGCGGGCTGCTTCGGGCTCCGCGTGAGCAGCACGCAGCCACGACGGCACCGAGCCCCTCCAGGCGCAGCAGCCCAACTGAAGGCGCTGCCTCTCCGACCGCCTGTAGGCGGGCGTCCGTGCTGATCCGCTGCCTCGCCCCGTCCCGCCCCGCCTCTTCCTCCCCGGCCACGGCGAGAAGGGCGCGAGCCCCATGGAGGCGGTGCTCCGCGCGTGGGTAGGTGGGCGCGAGGGCTGCGCGCGGCCGTCAGCCCGCCCTGCGGCCGCGAGATGGCGGCGGGAGGAGGGCGAGGGCGGGCGCCGTGCGGCTCCTCCGGCCGGGCTGCGTGCTGCGGGTCTGCCCGGCCTTTGGCACGAGCGGCGTGAGGACGGGCTTTCGAGCCTTCTAGGGCGGGTAAACAGACGGGCTCTGACAGCCGGTGCCCGCTGGTTTGCTGCTTGTGAGGCGGGAGGAGAGCAGCGCGCTGTGCTGCGGGCAGCTGCTGCCGTTCCGTGCCTCGTCCTGAGGGCGCGCGGAGTCCGTATTGTGTCGGACCTTCTGAGGAGAGTTAGGTGTCTGCCACGCCAGCCAGCGCCGAGAGCAGCCCCTGCCTGGGATCGGAGCAAGTCCTTCGAGGAGCTCGGGGCAGCAGGCGAGGCAGGCTTGTTCCCGCCTGGGGCCTCCACCTGCGGCAGCGCGGGGTGCTGCTCGGGCTCTTGGTCTGCGGTCGTCTCGGTCTCGGAGACCGTAAAGTGGCTGAGAAGCTCCCTGGTGCATCACCGCCCTGCCGCGTGTGTGAAAGCGTGCCGGCACGTTCTTGTTTTGTCCGCTGTAAGGTAGAAGAATCACTTAATGATGGATAAGTGCTTCTGCTTTGCTGCTTTATGTTCCCGGACGATGCAGCGTGTCGTTCTCACCTCATTTTGGTGCGGGACGCTGGCGCGAGCAGCACCATTAGCACTGAACAGGTGACTCTCATTTGTAAGGAGGCGTTCAGCCTTGCCAGGTGTTAGCCTGCAGTCTTAGCAAGCATATTCCTGTATAGAATAGTGACCTATGGGCTGCAAGGGTGGCCTTAGTGGCAGCAGATCTGGGACGGCCCTGCTCTGTAGTTCCGAGCACCTGTGTGATGGCTGTAAGAGTGAAGATTGTCCTTTGGGGGATTTTTGGGAGCTGGTAGTGTCAGGTTAACCCGTGCCATGTTCCCGATGAACCCGGTGGTGCAGGAGGGGAGCTACATGCATCTCTTGTCGTTAACTTTTTTTTCCCCATGTTATTTGTGTGTGTTTGAAGGGTGCAAACAGCTACGGACAACTTGGCCTTGGTCATAAAGAGGATGTGCTGGTACCTCAGACACTGAAAGATGTTTCCTGCAAATGTCAAGACATCAGGAGCATCACTGGAGGAGGAGGACATTCTGCAGTTATCACTGGTAAGATCATTGCTCTTGTAAGGAGTGCGTGACTTGAACAGCCAGGAGAAAATGTCTTTCCTTTCTGGTGCGGTGCTGCCACCTATATGCTGCTTCTGTGAGCAAGTATCAATTCTTAGTTGTAAAACAGGCTCCCCCTGGGCCTATCAACTTAATACTTTGGAGAAATTCCTTTGTTTACTCATCTTCTGTGTCTGTTTAATGACCTTGTGAGGCTAATTTCTAAACCTGTTTGACAGAATAGCTTTTAATACAAAACCGTTACTTGTCCTCTGTTGAGGATGAGGAGGGAAGGAGTCAAATGGGGTGTTATTCAATCTGAAGAAGGTAAGGAACAGGAAATAGCATCTGGTCTTCAGAAGGTTCTGCTCTATGCCATAGTTAACTACGGGAACAAAGGGATATGAGCAGGTGTGAATGGTATGAAATTCTTCTGAAAACAGGTTCTTGTTTTGCTGTATGAGCTGTCCTCCTTGGCTCTTGACATCTGTGCTTACTCAAAGATGTTTCTGGTTCATCAGAAGTAGCTGTCTCTGTGCAATTCAGTGTATTAAATGACACATCATTACTCTCTTTGTTGCAGGATCTCATTGCATATGTGCTTCTCTGTGAATTGAGTGGGATTTTGTTTTTTTTTTTTTAATTATTCCAGGTGCTGGAGAACTCTTTGTATGTGGCCATAACAAAGAGGGGCAGTTGGGATTGAATCACACAGAAAATGTGCTCTGTTTTACACTGTGCGCTGCCCTGTCTGGCTTCTGTGTGCAAGAAGTGGCCTGTGGCTGGGACTTTACAATCATACTAGGAGGTAAGCCCATCTTTGCAGGAGTTGGGGGAGTATGGGGGTGTGGAGAACACGCTGATAGTTCACATTGCTGTTGCTTGTGCACTCTCAGGTTTTAAGCTGCTTGAAAGCTATTGTGTTGAGCTGCAGACCTTAACTGAACATTATGCTGTAAAATCAGAAGTCTGTGGCCTCAGAGACCTGAGAAGAGGAGATGTTAGGTCTTTTTTTTTTTTTTCAGTTATTTCACTGTTTTTTTGCCTACTGTAATGTTACAACGCTTTGCTTTTGCTCAAAGGTACCCCGATCACTCTCTAATGCTTTTGTTTGCAGGAGCTGGCCTTGTTCTGTCCTGTGGGTCTAATGCTTTTGGGCAACTAGGAGTTCCCCAAATTTCAGGCCCGTGCTTGATTCCACAAAAGGTCGAGGTAAGTATTTAAAAGGAACTGCTCTATAGCTCTGTGCATTCTGTTGCTTACAGCATTGACAAGGTCTGGTGACCTCAGTGAGCTTTTAAGCTTGACTCTTCAACTGTTTTAAAGGAGTCCATCTGATGAAGTAAATTTACTGAGTAGACAACCAGTGATGGTCTTTGACCCAGAAATGAAATGCTACAGTTGCTTTCTTTTGTTATGTGAGGGAGCTGCCCACTTACAACAGAAAGTTGTCTTTGTCCATATAGCTGAGGATGTTTCATGTAACACATCTTGATAACATCTGCAGAATGTCTGTTCAGGTGTTGTAAAGTGATGCTAAAGCTACCGAAACCACAGAAGTTTACTTCAGCTGCAGTTTTACCTTGAGTCTGTAAGAGACCAGATAGGTTATGCGCCTGCAGGCTGTTCCTACCTTTGCTTTACCTCATTCAACATTTGTGACTCACAATTTGAAGGGTGGAGCACGTAGAACAAAATAGGCCAGCAGTAATCCCCCCTTGGAAAAAAAAAACCTGTGTCCAAGTTGAACAAAATTAGTTTGTCAACGAGCTTCCAAGGAAATAGGATGGAGAGTTAACTAACAGTTTCTCTCTTGTCCACTACCTTCAACTGTAAGTGCTAAAGGCAACAGAGCTGGTGCTGCTCCTGTAGGTTGTGTGGAGATCTGTGGTGATACCTGGAGGTGAGGCACCGCTGTGGGTAGGGAGCTCCGAATGTAGCCTCAAATTGTTTGCATTAAAATGCTTTAAGTGGTAAGAACTGAGACTTCCATACCAAAAAAAGCTTCTTTAGTGTTGGCTGTAAGCCTAACAGTGTAAATAAATTTCTCATGGGAATTCTAATTAATCCCTAATTTACACTGTAGCTTCTTACTTGAAGAATGCTAATGAGATGCTTTTACATCCTCTCCGTGTAACGCAAGTGAGAGCAGAAAGGACTCTCAGACAGGAACAGTAGCCTCGTGGTCTATGCCAGTCACTGCTCTGTTGTGATTTTTGGGTTTTGTGACAGTCTGGTTATTGTAGGGAAGGAAGGACAGCTATTGGTCCTCCAGTGAGTAGGGCTTTCCTCACCTGATGCACCCAGGAAGCAACAAGGGTACAGAACATCACTCCAGTGTAGTGCCTTGAAAATGGTGGCAGTGACAGTGTGGACCATTCATTCATCTGAAATATTTTCTTTTGCTTTGTGTCCTTTTAAGTGCTTGGATGGAAGTGAAGCATGGCTGACAAAAGTCAATAGGAACATCTTCTAAAAACAAACAGTAATGCATTGGTGTGCATTGTGATGTGCAGGCTGGAATCGAGAGCTATTTTCACTGTGCCCCACAAATGTGTTCAGCATATTCTGCTTTTTAGAGGCAAAAATATGAGAAACATTTTTTTTTGTTTGTTTCTTTACTCGAGCAGTCCCTCAAAGAGAAAGTAGTGGGTATTGCTGCAGGACTGAGACATGCCCTTGCTGCTACAGGTAAATATGTTATTGTTTTCTCATTTCTGGAACACATGAAGAGCACTCTTAATGTGTTTTAATGACCTAGATGGGGTGGAAAAATTAAAAAAAAGGGTGAATTTTGGCTACTATTTATACTTGTGCAATGAGACTGTAGTTGTTGTCTAGAAGGATAACCCTGGTAAAGTTTGGTTTTGGCATAAAGCATGCAAAGCATAATTCGAATCAGTGAATATGAAAGTGCTTTTAAAATTAATTAATTATTCAGTTGAGTTAAGTGATTTTATTGGTGGTGATTGTGTTTTAATCTCTGTGTGTTCACTTTGGGAAGAGAGTGGTTTGGTGTTTCAGTGGGGAACTGGCATGGCATCTCGGGCAAAGCGTGCGCACCAGGGGAAAAGCCTCCCTCTGTTCTGGACTGCAAAGGAACCCTGTGAAATAAAAGGTAATCCTGGAGTCTGACTTCTTTGTCAAGGTGATAGAGCTGAAATATATTTTGCAGTGATATGTAATGTTTCTTTTTATGAAGCTGCTTGGTGTTACAAGTATGGAGCATCTGAAACAGAATCTGTACAAATTCATAATCCACAGGGAACAATGGTACTGAGTCTTTTAGCACCTGTGACCCAGAAGAAGGGGTTTTCATTATAAAATTCATTATCATACAATCATACATTGATATAACTTCATGGCTGTGCACAAAATGATATCTTTTGTACAAGTTTATAAGACTAATTTTTCTGTAGGCCTGGAAGCTGTGAAGGCGAAGAGAGTTGCCGCAGGCTCCTACCATTGTGTGTCTCTTACAGGTAGGCCCTAGGTGTAGGCATAGAAGTCCTTGTCTCAACATATAAGGGGGTTCTGTGCTTTGGAAGTGTCTGTCAGCTTCGGCTTGGCTGATCAGTGTGTTGTGGCGTAATGCTGGTAAGCCATCCTGTAGTGGTTTTGGATTCTGGGAGCTTCCATCTTAGTAAGACCTGGATTCACTGTGTTCTTTGTATTTTATTCATGGGGTCGGGTATGACACAGCCCTTAGAAATAAGCAAGGCTCTGGGCTCTTAGTGGTTAGAAACTGCAGAGATTTGTGAAAGCACTTGGTTGCATAGATTTCTGCAGCAGCGGTGCTGCGTCGGGTGACCGAATGGATGAGCCCTGGCCCGAGAGCAACCTTTTGCCAATGGGAAGGAGTGTTATGGGGCTGTGTTGTGAAAGGCTGCTGTGGCTGTCCTCCTGCAACTGGAAAGTTGGCTGTGCTGTGCATGAGCGAGAGGTCTTGTTGGCTGTGCAGTAACAGCATGCACACACACCTGTGTGAGGTGGTGTAAGAGCTCCAAGCATATTAAAAGCAGTGGGAAATTGCTTTATCACTTAGACATTTGCATAACTTAGGGCATTTGTTCCTTACCCAGTGCTCCTGCTCTGCGTGCTAAGTATCTGGTTGTGCTAGTGTAAGAAAAGTTATTTATTTATTTTTATTTCTTGGCAGACCAAGACATGGGAAAGAGAATAGCTTTGCATCTGTAAACTTACGGTTCTAAAATGTGGGAAGTGTATTGAACTGTATGAAAACAAATCTTTACAGAAGTTCAGGAGTTCTTTGCAAATATGCAGCCATCTGGTACCTCTGCCATCATCAAATGGAGTGCTGCAGAGCCTGCTTACGCTTATGCAGAGATGGAATTGCATGGGGAAACGTTAGATGTGAATTACAGTGAGTTCTGAGATGCAAAGTCTGTATGTGATTAGTGAAGAACTGGCAGGACAAATAGAATCTGCTTTAGCTAATTAGCACTTTCTGTGTGTCTAGAGTGAGCAAATCATTGTTTCTTTTTTTTTTTTTTTGAGAGCAATCTATTTGGCAGCAGGGCAACCACATCTAACAAAGTAGGTGTCGAAGCTTTCAATGATATGCTGGTATTGCTGCCCTTCCATCTGCATTAGCTTCTAAGGATGCTTATTTATTTAAGTTACTGTAGAGTGTACTATTTATTAAGTGAGCATCCCTGCAGATTTTTTTCTAGGAATTTCCTGCTGAGCAATGCAGTTCTCTTGGGCTCTGTCCCACGAGCCACCTGCTGGTAGGACACTGAACACCAGTCAGCGGGAGGCTTTTGATGCAAGGGTTGAAATGTATTGTTGCAAATGTTATTTTTTCTTTTTATCAATAAATAAAGGGGGCAGGGGGATCTGAATGACACTTTGTGTTGGAGATTTCAATCTCCAGACTTTCTTGGCCTGTGAACATGTACTTGGTGTGTGCATGACTTCTCTTGCTTGCGCAGAATGAACTGACTTGAGGAGGCCTGGCACAGCTCATGTTCTGCTTATTACAGGTTATGTTTTTTTTTTAATATGGAGGTCTAGAACCTGAACTGAATCATCTGATGCTGAAAAGATTGGATTAATGATGATTAGTATCTGCAGAAGGACTCATCTGAACACTTACCTCGTTACTGTCAATTGGCTGTTAGGCTGTGAGCATCTTCAACTCGTATTGGGGAGCCACACGAAGCAAATGCATGTTTCTGTAAATATAATTATCCCTGTGGGTGGAATCCTGGAGTGTGTACTTGCATAAATGCTTCTTCTGCAAAGGCAGTGGGGGAAGACAATTACTTACAGAAGTCTCTTAGTTGTGTAGTAGTGCTTTCAGACATGATAATACTTTGATTTTGCTTTGTGATGGGTAGTACCTGCTTTACCTACCTGTTCTTAGCTGTGTGTCATATTCCTTTAGAAAGTGACTGAGCAGGATGGGGTAGGGAGCATTAGACCATCCCTGCTTTTGAGGATTTACTGGATATGCTCAAGCTGAATTCAGCAGCAGAGTTACAAGTGGAGTTGGGAGCCTGTAGCTCCTGTAAAGAGACTGGGAGACTGTTCAAGTTTCCCAGGTGCTTGAGGGGAGTTGTGTTATTTGCTGCTCTTCAGGTTATCTACTGGGCTGAGTCTAAGCTTTGGGCTGGAGGTAAAAGCTGGCCTGCAAGGACAGAGTGGCAGAGCTCAGTGAATGACCTCAAAATACTTAAAGCTTTTTCTCTAAGATATTTTCTACTTTACTTAGCTCTCTTATAAAACTTTGCCTTTGCTGTAAAGGTGTTTCAGTCATCTTTCAGAAATTCAGAGCAGAAATTAAGCCTGGATGGACCTCAACCTCAAAACCCTGGTTGTCTCAGGAAGTCAGTGTAGCCCTCAGAAAACACATTTTGTTGTTAAAACCCTGGCAAATATTTCTCATATTCTGATTACAGCTTTTGTGCATGTGGTAAAGAGACCCTCCTTTCCTCAAAATCACTGGGCAGGCTGGTTGTATGGGGACTGCTGAATCATGGCCTGAGCCTCTGATTGATCACCTGAGGCGAGCACTGACTCAGCCCTGGGAGCACAGGTGAAGGCAATTCTCCTGTGCTGCTGGAAGGGGTGGAGCGTGGCTGCACCTCTCCTAGACCCATTTAAGAGCTGACCACAAGTAGGGAAGGATCTCTTCTGGAGATCCACTCCACTGGAGTTTCCCATACGAGCCCAGGGTAGGGTGAGTGGACCTATCATTTCTGTTTCCTGCTTTGGTGTAATAGCATCATAGCCAAGCTCTCTGTTATACCATAACATCTGTATATCAGATGTATATTCATCTGTATATTCATTAATTGTATACTGCTATACCGTAACATTGGTATATTCATTAACTGTTCACTGGTTTGGCATTGAATGGGGGGGTTGGTGGCCCTGCATGTGGCAGGGGGGTTTGGAGATTTGTGATTCTTGAGGTCCCTTCCAACCCTGGCCATTCTGTGAGCTGAGTCAAGTAATGTATCTGGTGTTGTTCTGTGTGTGTCACTTTCAGCTTATTTTACTTCTTTATCAACTGCAGGTGAAGGACTCCTCTATGTCTGGGGTAGCAACAAACATGGGCAGCTGGTGAGCAAAGAGATATTTCTTGTTGAGCCCAAGAAGATCGACGCTCAGTTTTTCTCACATGAAAAGATTGGAGCAGTTTGGAGTGGTTGGACTCACTTGGTGGCACAGACAGGTAGGATGTGTAAAAAGCAGCCAGATGTGGCAGCAGATCTGCAAATAGCCTACGCTGTATGCAAACTGTGATCTTACTAATATTAACTGAACACAGGAATGAGGGAGAAGATAATCCTGAACAAGTGTCTGCCTGAAAGGCATGGAGGGGGTCATCAGTAACCAGGGAATGGTTCATACCTGAGTCTTAGCTGAGGATATGAAGATCCACCAGAGCACAGTTATGCTAATCTTGTTATACTTCAATACTGGGCGTACCTTCTAGTGCTGCCCTTGCTCTTTTGTAGTAGGGTGCTTAAAAATGAATAAAATAACGTGTTCAGAAGAGAAACAAACTGAGCTGGTTTAGAGTGCCTTGCTTCTGTGGTCAAATGTGGAAAGTGTTTAGAAGAGATAAGTAAAAGGAGACCTTGTTAGTTTGGAAAGTGTTATCCTAAGATGAAATGACTTTGCTGAGCATGTTTGGCTGTACCTTCCTGGGAAAAGAAAATGTGAAAGATTGCTGCATGCAGAAGACTTATAGGGTTGGATTCTTTCCTAGAAATAGATAAGGAATGCTGTGTACTAATGACATCCATGTAAAATGATGATTGATCTGATGAAGGTCATTAAAATGCATTTGCATTGCTGCTCTGTTGTGAAATACAAAGTTGGAAGAGAAAGGTAAAGCATCTGAAACTGTTTTGCTGTTATCATATGTGAATAGTATGTGCATATATGCAGTATCTGTACTGAGGTATGAGAGTTAAGATGATCAAAAGGATTATTATTTTATAAAACAAAAAGAGCAGCCAGAGTTAGATTTGCAGGGGTTACATACATTTGTTTTAGCTTGTGCAGACTGCCAGGTAAGGAAATGGAGAACAGATGGAAACATTTTTCTTAGAGCTGTGTCGGAGATTTAAGAGGATCTGGTCTGTCAGGATACAACCAGTTCATTAAAAACCTACAGAGGGGACACAGATCTGTTGTTATTACTGGATTCTGTAGTTATGGATACTGGTTCAAGGAGTGCTTGGTCTCCTTGGTCACTGTGTGCTCAAACGTCACAGTGTGCTGAAGTGTGGTATTAAATTGGCGCTGTAAATAATGACATGGTCACACAGTGATGTCCTTGCTCTGGGAGAGAACTGCCTGTTTTAATTACAGTGTATTGTGAACTCTTGGTGGTAGGACTTGAAGAGATGTGATGCATGACTGGAAAAACAAATTGGTTAATCATTCTGTTTCATGGTGTTCGTTGCTTGACATCAAAGTACGTGAGAGAAGTGCCATGTGAAAGGCATTGCTCTTCCAGTCCTCTCAGCTATTTGAAAGCTTTGAATGCTGATTTTTTTTTATTTTTTTCAGAGGATGCATACTGAAAATTTCTTAGCTGGAATCAATGCAATGTACTGCTTGGAAGCATTTCAAGCAGATAGGAATTTCTCTCAAAATGCTTGATTCTTGGTAATTAATGTCACTCTCACAGGAATAGAAATGGTGGAAGAAGTGACATTAGTCAGGACAGCCTATTCTTTAAGCAGAAGGTCTTGTCAACGTGGTTTGCCTGGCTTCATTATTCCTTATAATAATGTATATCCATGAAATAAAACTTCCCCGAGATTTTAGAAACTGCAGTGTTTCACTTATTTATCCATGGCCATTACAGAACTGAAGGGAATATTCTGGTAGGTGGTTATAAGATGGGGAGGGTGGAATTCTGCTGACTGACTAGCAGAGGTACTTTTTTTTTTTTTTTTTTTTTTTTTTTTTTTTGGGTAAATGTTTGAAAGGGATTTAAACAGGCTGGCTTGACGTCTGCATCAGAGCTGGCCAAGTGGTGTAGTGCTGTAAGTTATTGCTGTATTTCGAATTTTAAATCTCTTTGGAAGTCAACGGACCTGAGTCTTAAATTATTTGGAATAAGGTTTTGAATGGCCTTTGGCAGCATCCAGACACAAATCAGAACCTTATGGGACTTCCAAAGGTTGCTCATCTGCCAGATGTAGTGTAAGCTAAGCACTTAACTTGCTGAAAAATCACTAATTGCTTACGGATAAACTTGCAGTTCTCTGAGTAACTGGAAATGCAGCCCAATCAAATGCTTCTCCCTGCGTGTCATTTTCCCTCCGTTATTTTTACTGCATCTTAGCAAAAGAGGAAATGGTGCTCCAGTTTGCTGCTGCTGAAGTTGCATAAAGCAGTGCTCTCCAAACGACTTTGATCACAAATCCCTATCAGTAAGAAAAAAAAACCAACACAAAACAGCAGAACTTTCTGCTCGTGCACCCCCACTCTAAGTGTACTTACTATTTGAGAGTATGCATTACTTTTACTACTGTAGCATACTATGCAAATAATATACATAGAGGTAGAAATTAAAGGATGAATAAGAGGATGAAATGCTATTGAAAACACTATGTAAAATACTACTTTCGATGTTGAAGTATTCATTTGTAAATTCACAAGTGTTGCCATTTCAAAACGGCTCTTGGATCTTTATGTGCCAGGTGAGCAGCGCTTGCCTGCACAGCCATGGAGCACTGAAATGGTTCAGTGTGATGGTAAAAGCAACCATCTGGAGGAGCAGTGGCAGTTGTAGTGGGTGCTGTGAATTAATACTTCTAGAGCAAGTCTGAGCAAGTTACCAACTTACCAGACAAGAAAGAACATTTCCTAAACATTTTCTTCTTTAAGTTCTCCCTATTATGTAGACCACCCTCTTTTAAAAAGGCTTGCTTTGTTTTTTCTTTCAAACTACTGCCAAAATTTTTCATTGTGACTTAAAACAAAACATACAAAAAGCTTTTTAAAAATTTTTATCTATTTCTTCCCTGCTACGTCCTTATAAATGAGTTCAGCTGCTCCTGAAATCACTCAAATGCATGCATCTCTTTTAATATGCTATCTTCTATCTCATTCAGCAGCTGTGTTGAATATTCTGTTTCCAGTCCATCCATCCATCCTTCCTTCCTTCCAATGTCCTTAGAGTCTGGTAAACTGTCTTCTGTTATGTCTATCGTAAAGTAGGTCAGTTTCAAGAAGTTAATTCCTGAGATAGGAATTGCTTGACTCAAGGAATTTAAGGAGCGTTTTCATAGCGTGCTGTGTTGTTCATCATCAATAGGATGGGATCATCATCAATAGAATAGGATCCTTAACTGATCCTATTCAGATCCAGTTCTTTTTAATCATAGATGTCTCTTTTGGACTTTTTCTGTTGCAAACTTACTTTAAAGTAACTCAGAATCCTTCCAAGTAGCTCCTACCCTTTACTGATTCCCAAGGACGTACACAACTAGACGTACTAGACCTTCATAGAACCACTTCAAAATAAGTTGCTGTTGTAATTGCTCTGTGAAATGGTCCTGGTCAGTGATGGTTGGTCCAAAAAGATTAAGAAACTGTGCTTGTTTTTTGATCAGGTATCTGATGATAAGACACTAGCAAGCACATTAGTTTATTCCTTTTTTGCTGCATGAATGCTTGTATCAAGTGACTTTCAAGGTGTGCGTTTCCATTATGGCAGCACTGTTAATGCTGCTTAGGTGAAGGATGGACTAGATGCATTCTTCTGACTTTGGACTCTGAGTGCAAGTATTTCTCTTTACAGGTGACTGCTCTGTAAAATGGTTTCTTTCCCAAAGCACTGCTTTATGGCACAAGGTTACCAGTGCCATGTATTTGATACTGTTTCGAAGAACAGTCAGCTCTTTGCTTATCTTCTTAACAATGTCTGCTTTAATTTGTGGTCCTTCTCCGATTGATAGACGCTTTGAACGTAGCAGCTGAAAGAGAGGCTATCACAAAAGTTATTTATAAGAGAGTTAATAAGTTGTAGCTTGTAATGCTGAAGGTTCCAAAGTAGGGAATTTGGAAAAATATAGAACTGATGTGAGTTGGAGGCAAACCTAAAAACAGCAAGAAAAGACTTTTAAAGACTGAAAGGTGAATCATCAACTCGTTTCAAAACAAGCGATTTCCTTTTTAACTCTGAGATCTTGTTAATAGGCCTTCTTAAGCTGCCCTGTTCTGTTATCTAAGTGTTCGCAATATGTTCTCTAGGTTATTTTTCGTGTGACAGCACATGGAATGGTGGTCTGCTTGAGTTCACGTAAAGGATTCCAAACTCTTTCTCCCAGAAGGAGTTGCCTTAAGAATGCAGTTAGAATGATCTATCTGCTTCCTATCTGAAACTGCCAGTGGCTAAAAAGTCTTGGCAGAGCATACTTCAGACCCCTTCACGTAGCCTGAATGTCTGGAATCCTTATTCTGAATGCGCATCTGAGTTTGTGCTCCTGCAAACCTCCCTTGACCTGACGTCATTTAGTCTGCATGAAAGCCCTGGGGTGGTCTCAGGGGCTTGTGACCTACATGGTAAAACAAGCTTATCTTCTGTTTTTCTAAAGCAAATGAGAATGCATCCAAAGGCTGAGAACAGGCTGATGGAATATTTCTAATCGGAGGCTAGAAGAAGGGGCTTCGTGCTCTGTTTGCACTTGGGCTTTCTGCAGTCAGTAAGCGGCTCTCCAGCCTTGCTGTGAGCGGTGCAGTGGATGGAGCTGCAGCCAGGTGAGGTGTGCGGGCGCTGCTCTGTGGTACCGAGCAGTGCGGTGTCAGCCCGCTAGAGGGCCTCTCCAGATTTCTTTTGAATCAAGGCTCTGCAGCCTTCCTGCTGCTGGAAAGCATACATCTTTGCCTTGAAATTTTCAGCTGCTCCCTGAGAGCAAATCCTGACTTTTGTATTTTATTTTTTGCACCTTATCTGCTATACCAATAAGGCATCTGTTTTATGAGGACTCTTTTGTCCTGTTAGGTGCTGTAGAGTGTTCTGCCAAAAGGAACTGCAGTTGGGAAATGACTTTTTTGAACAGTGAATAGATTAGAGATCTTGTTGCAGTCGTCTGAGTTTGAGCTCTGGTGTTCTAGAGACTGTGTTTGTTTAAAACTAAGTCAAAATGCTGATATTGCTATTATCCCTATGAAAAACGATAACGACAAAACCCCTTCCTTATTTTC